ACTTTCGAAGGCCTAAGCTGAATCTCAAACCGTGTTGATCATCATCTGCTCTCCCGTGATTGGTTGACACGACAATCTCAACTGAATCACTTTGTCAATTGCCAGAAGACACAGGATAAGGATCCTGCCAACAAGTTCACCTTGATCACCTGCATAATGTAATTCCTGATTGAGCTGACTAAGTGGTCCAAAACTTGTATAAGGATCCCAGAACAGTTCATTATATGGCTTGCAGCCTCAGCTAACATGGGTTCACTTATCACTTGGAGATGTAGTTATGAGGGATTCCTGTGTCTCATCAACATGGCACAAAATTCTCATATGGCTACTGACTAATTCTGATGCTTGCTGTGAAAGGCTTGAGACTTCCAAATAAAGCTGTGGTCCAAGAATCACTAGTACTAGTGCTTCTGTTACCTTTTCAATAACTACCACAGTATGCTCTTTTTCATATACTAATTTTACTAATATTTAATATTATGTCCCTGGCTTATAGCCACATTTATCTGTAGTAGTAGCTGTCAATAAAGATCTTATATTAAGAAATTTTGTGAAATGTTCAGTGACTGTTGAGGCAAAAGGCATTACCATCCAGTAGGTCTTCCTCTTTGTTTTTGTAGGAGTAATGACTATTTATTATTATATATATATTGGTTTACTGTTTCTTTCTTTATTATTTATTAATATACGCATTCAATTGCAATCATTATCGTATTAATATTAATATCTTATCACGTATTATCAGCGAATATTAATATGAATTATCTTATTTCTAATTTCCATTGTGCTGATAGTCTGCTGTCCGCCAGTAACATTTTATGATATTGACCGTCACCTCTAGTAATACACCATATTTTTCTGACTTGCTCCAGGTATTCAATATTTCAGTACACACCCTGGTTCTCCTCAGTTAAACACTATGACAAGGAATAACACTGTTCGCAGAGAAAGTCCATAATCTAGTTGAGATTTAATCACGTGAACCAGAAGTATGACCACATGACTGGACGAATTGTCAAGCACAAAGTTAACGTTAAACTTTCTGGTTTTGGCGAAGTTTCACAAAAATGTTCAAGAACGAGGTTCGATTACTTTCATTGCAAGAGAAATACACTACAAAAAATAGCCGATTATCAGATGCTAAAATTTTCTCTCTGTTAACAACATCATGGACACTTATCACCAATTAATTTATAATGGTTCCAATATCCCAGGGTCTCCCATTCACTCGCCGACTAATACACCATCGCCAACAACCTCGCCCTCACAGACTTCACCTTCACTCAGCTATACAGTTTCACATGGGGTGCCTACGATGTATGGAAATAATATGCCCCTGTTCCCGTTCCCGTCGAAAATACATTCCAAGCTGCAACAGACGATGAACCACTCTTTCGGTCCACATCCATTGCTTAATCAGTCTGCCGGTCCTCCTGGACAAGCATTACCACCACCTGGGTCTATCTTGACTCAGCAACCACCCTTGACTGTATCGTTATCTACGGGAGTTTCTAACCCTTTGTCAACTGGGATTAGCTCTCTACACTGGCAACAGCAGTTATTGTATGCTCAGTCTTCTCGTCAATCTGCTTCTCCTCATCACCACGCACGACAGGCAGCAGCGGCAGCAAGAAATAATAGTTCGGCCGTTGCAATAACAGATCCAAACAATCCTAATAAACCTCCTGTAAATGGTGTAGGTGTTGAGAAGAGTTCTCAAGATAAAAAAGATCGGTCTAGCCAATGGAAAACTATTGATTTGGGCGGTATGGGGCTTAAGAACATTAGTAATGAACTATTTCGCTATACATTTTTGACTACTCTATACATTAAACATAACAATCTGACTCGACTATCGCCCGAGATTGCAAAGTTACGACGTTTAACAGTGTTGGATGTCTCCGGAAATAAATTGACGTCTTTGCCTCCTGAATTGGGTATGGTGACTAGGCTGCGAGAGTTGTTGGTGTTTGATAATTTGTTAATGACTCTACCATACGAGCTGGGAACTCTGTATCGGTTGGAGATTCTTGGCCTAGAGGGAAATCCGATCTCAGAACCTATTAAATCAATGCTACAGAAGGAAGGAACTCCGGCTGTCATACAATATCTTCGGGATTCAAGTCCATGTATGTGTTATCGAGTGGGCAGGAGAATTTCAAGAGAAAATATGAGAATTTGAATTAGCGGAAAACATAATGGTTTGTGGCGATAGCAAGCCACTTCTTGTTTAGAGATTTATTTTTCTATGTCGTTGACAAGTTTGATATGTATGCCATTGTGTATTCAAATGAATTAGTACATCAAACATTTACTAATAATCATGTCCACAAATGCAAAACTTTTTCCATCAGTACCACAGCAACCGGCAGAGCGAGAATGGATATCACTGGATAATGATCCGAGTAATTCAAATAGTCCTGGTATGTCTTGGATACCGGGACAATGGCGATGCGGAAGAGGCAAAGAATGGCGAGGAAATTCCAACGGGTATTACCATTCTGTTCTCAAAATGGTGTTTGACGGATTGATTTGTTTTTCTATGCGAAACAGATGTCTTCACTCTCCTTTCCTACAATGTCCTCTGCGAAAAGTACGCCACTTCTCAGCATTATGGATACATTCCTTCATGGGCGCTTGCGTGGAACTACCGTAAAGATTTGATTCTACAAGACGTATTATCATATAATGCGGATATCGTGTGTCTGCAGGTTTGTCATTTCATTCAAGGTTGAAACTGTATTGGATATGAGGACATGTTTATCTGTTTAGTTGTTATTTATGGGAATAAAACGTTTAGTGTTCGATTGTTAACATTTATTTGCTTTATTTATCAGGAAGTCGACACGAGCCAATATGAAGAGTTTTTCAAAGATCAACTCCGTGCGCAGGCCGATTATGACAGTGTCTATTGGCCAAAGTCTCGTGCAAAAACGATGTCAGAGTGGGAGAAGAAAACTGTGGATGGCTGTGCAACATTTTTTAAGGCGTCAAAGTATTAATATGAATTTAACTGTTATACTGTTGCATCATACCATTTGTTCTGCTTACGATATTCACATTTGCTGACACTTTCTTTTGTACTGCCTATTGTATTATAAAGGTATACCTTGATCGATAAGCAGCTGATAGAATTTAACCAGGTCGCATTACAGAGACCAGACTTTAAGAAGACTGATGAGATGTTTAACCGGGTAATAACGAAAGACAATATTGCAATTGTAACATTGCTCGAAAATAAAGAAACTCAAGCTCGCCTCATTGTTGCAAATTGCCACATTCATTGGGATCCTTCTTATGCGGATGTAAAACTCGTCCAAGTGGCCATGCTAACAGATGAACTTGAGAAGTATGCCGAGAAATGGTGTGCTCAGTCCACTAATCCAATCCATAATTATTCGCCTCCTACAAAAATGTCTACAATTATCTGTGGTGACTTCAATTCAACGCCTGAATCTGGAGTGTATGATTTTCTCAGTCATGGAACCGTACAACAAGATCATCATGATTTTGGTGATCACGTATATGGGACTTACACATCCGAAGGATTATCTCATAGGTTCTCACTGAAGTCTGCATATGCTAATATCGAAGAGTTGCCTTTCACGAACTTTACCCCTTCGTTTACCGGAGTCATAGACTATATTTGGTATACTACGCATTCGTTGACTGTGACTGGACTGCTTGGCGGTATAGATAAGGAATATGTATCGAAGATGGTTGGATTTCCAAACGTACATTTTCCATCAGAGTCAGTAAAATTTCAGTTATATTCAGAAGCTTGTTTCTTATCAGTTGGATATAGTACTAACTCTTACTAAATTTTCTTTAACCTTTGATCTTGTCAAATATAGCCACATTGTTATTCTAGCTGAATTCCGTCAGAAAACAACACAATCATCATCGTCGTCGTCATCGTCGTCGTCATCATCACAATTTGGCTTTACGGGAGGCAACAGTAACCCACACCGGAGACTGTACAATCATATTAATGGCAAGAAATAGATATAAATATATTTAAGACAATATGCTTGTACCTTTTGATTTTTCGCTTTAGACAATGTTGAAATCACCTTTGCTTTGAATTGGGAGACATGGAAAGAAACTGTGGATACTTGAACCATCTTATAACGAATTCAAACGAGATTGGTTTCAAGTAACAAAAAGTAATAGTAGTTTTACGATAATGACGATGAGGCAATGGTCTAAGAAAAAATAACACTCCTTACATCCAACTGATCTCTTTCCAATTCTCATCAACATCGTTATCTATAGATTGACTTGAACAAATTACCTATACGAAATATTCTTCGAGGTTATTTCATTGATTTCATTTTTTATCTTCCCTTTAAAAATGTAAATAACACCACTGTTCTATTTCACCAATTGAGTGTGTGCAATGCAGACTTGGGATTCGATGGTCTAATTAATTTTGGTGGATGATTTCATGAAGGCTATTATATATTTAGTTATTCCTTTGTGAGAATAAACAATTTTCAGATTCTCCTCGTCAGCAATCTAGATAGCTAGAAAGGCGAATGCAAGGGCTGGCATGCAAAGAAAAATAATAATACTAAACTCACTTTGGCCTTACCACACGCAGAAGCCTTCAATTCGATCATCGATTTCATCAAGAGTCATTGCAACATCATCTGAAATCCCAAATAGAGTTGGAATAACTTTTTCTTGGCGCTTCATCGAAGCTGTCTTGAAAATTGACTTGCGTCTAGTCTGCATGTTCCATCCACTCTAATTAGCCCAAGTTCATATGATTTACGGGCATGCCTGAAAAGATAAATTAATGACGCCCGTCTCGCTTTGAATAATAATTGCGATACAGCTTTGTCAAGCAAAGTTCGTAGCAGTAATTCAAAATTGACGCGACATTCCTATCACTTTAGTCAAAAAGAATCAAGACCAATTTTCCGCGCATGGTATATAGGAATGCCCGTCTACTATTACAGTACTGATCGATTATTTTTCTTCATTGTGCGTAGTCGAATAAAGCGACTGTGAAAGATGAGGGGATTACGCCACATTATCCTTAGTCAAATTTATTCAGAGGGCCAAAATTACATGTGATATTTCGACAGTGGGTAATATCTTCCCATGCGTCCATTAATTATATTAGAGCGAACATCAGGGGGGTAGCAGGTCACCTGTACTAGTTTGTGGTTCGGCTAACAACCATCAAAGGAACAATTGCTCTTTCTCTTCACAGCTGGTCTGGGGGGATCTAAGGGATTTAAATATATATATTTATATATCGCGTTTTAAGAAAGTGAATCTCAGCGCGAATTACTTAGTATAGTATCCAACTAAAGACGGACAGGTGCTTGCTATATAGTCGAGTAGTTGAACCTTATCTATTTTGTTCGTCGTCTTATCGCGAACATTTATATCTACTGTCTGAGGGTTTGTGTGAATTGTCACTGGAGCACCAAACAAGAAACGCATTTCAGAGCTACCCGATCTCCCCAATAATTCTAATGTAACAGAGCACAGTCAGGCAAAGTTGAAAGAGAATGTCGATCGATTTTCTCCTTCATGGTCAT